TGGTGACCACCACCCACCTTCCAGGATGGGGCAAGCCCTGGATGTCACTTTCCCTGGAATGAGAGGCACCGGGAAGGTAGCTGGCCTCCAGACATCTTGAAAGGTCTCTGCAGAATAAGGATGGAAGAGGGGAGCTGCAGAGAGGCGCAATCCCAAGGGAACCCTGCTGGGAGCAGAAGCCTTGGGAGGCAACACAAATGTGAGCCAGAGAGTTTATCGTCCACATCACAGAACAGAATTGAGGGGATCTCACTACAAAAGGATGCCATGAGGGAGGTGGCACCAAGACACCCATCATGACTGCAAGTAGACTGTGGCAAGCAGATGCTGGCAAACAGCTCCAGAGGAGCAGAAATCCCCTTCCCCTCCTCTGATTCCTCCTCCTTGCATGGCCGCTGGAGAAACTAATCCATGATGAATAACTGAGGTGAGATACCTGGAGCCACTGTCATTGCTGGGAATGGCCTCACCTGCACAACATCAATTCCAATGTTCCAGTGTGATCGTCCTCCAAAGTTTCCCTCTGCCCCTTCATATTCCCTCCCTCCAATTCCCCACCCCCATCCCCAAGCAACCACTGACTGTTTTGTGCCATTATAGACTAGTCTGCATTTTCTAGAGTGTTCTACAAATGGAATCCAACACCGTGTACTCCTCTTTTCTGGCTTCTTCCACTGAGCATAACTGAGATTCATCCCTACTGTTAAGTGTATCAATAGTTTGCTCCTTTTTACTGCTGAGTAGTATGCCATCATAGAGATGTACCACAATTAGTTCATTCATGCACTTGATGATGGATATTTGGGCTATGCTAGTTTGGGGCTACATTTAATAAAGTCTTAATGTGAAAAAAAAAAAAACCAAACACCAAGCTGGGGGTTGAGTAGTCCCTCCCCCCCATCCCCCATGTGCTCACCAAACTGGAAGGAGGGGGAAGAAGCATGTCAACTGGAGAGACTGCTTTGGACTACAAACAGTTCTAATACCCAAAAGCATCCACAAAGTTATGGGTTCTGTTGGATAGAAGTCAGTCATCCTGGGGAGAGGTGCTGTCACAGGCAAGGATGCAAAAACTAAAGCCACTTCCTGATTACAGGTAATGGACTGCTCAAGCAAGAAAGACCTGTTCCTGCAGGAAGGCAGAGGAGCTATCGGTGAAGGAAGAGTCATAAGGAGATAGTATCAAGGATAAAAGGGAAGTCCTCAGTGAACCTGGACTGCAGCAGCCCAAGGAAAGAAGGATGGCAGCTCACCAGAGAAATTCACACACATCCACACACTCAGCCACTCACCCCAGAGGGCCCTCCAACCGTACCCACAATGCCCAAACTGCTCTCACATCCAGCAGCTACCACCTCGCCCAGGAAGCCTGCCTCAGCATCTATGAATGTTGTGCTAAATCCTCTAGCCCAGACTTTCAGAGCTAAAAAAGCCCTGGAGGAAATGAAGGAAACATATCTGGAGAGAAGTGATGTACTCAGGGCTATGCACACAGGACCAGAATAAAACCTCCTACTTTGTGTTACAGCACACCATCACCGTAACACCAGCTCTCTGCTCAGATGCTGGGACAGTGTTGAAGGTATTAACCAAACACAAGGTTCAAAATGACGATCCTAAAAGCAACTCCATGAAAAGTGAAAGAGCAATGCAGCACATGCACTGGTGCATGGTTATGAAGCAACCAATGCTAGCAAGTGGCAGGGTGACACCTGTTGTAACGAGACTCCCCTGGCAGCTGCAGTACAGCTTCGAGGGAGACCACATCCAGCTTGTGTTTACTAACCCCGCTCGCTCTCTTATAGACTTCCTCTGCATCATCCACTTTTGAGGTTCTGATCCAACATCAAGTTCCTTAGGACTCACCATATAGGTCTTTAGTTCTTGTTTTTTTTAACAACTTTAGTACCTCTGTGCAGTAGAGATGCATCCCTTCAGTCACTGCTATCCTTTCAACAATTATTGTTGCTGTTTTTGCAAGAGCTCTTTCCTTTTGACCAAAGAAGCAAGCACGTGTGGTTAGGAAGACACAGGCTGTGGAGTCTAACACACTCAGCAGGCAGTTCCAGCCACAGGCTTGCAAGCTAATGCCTCTAGCAGGCATTTTACTCCGTCCATGCGATGGAATGATCACCTCCTTCGCAAGGCTCTGGTAAAGATTATATCAGACAATTTACATAGAGTGAACGTCTTTTTAAAGAACGGTAGAAGGATCACCTCAACTACTAAAATCTGCTTTTCTTGTCACTTGCCCGGTAGAACTGAATATACATATGTTGAATACACAGATGATAGATCTTCACTGTATTTCTTGAAAGCTGGATTACTCACAATAATGCTACGGAATGCCTCAAGCACCCATCAACAGATGAGTAAATAAAATGTGGTGGGCAACACAATGGATTATTATTCACCATAAAAAGGAAGGAAATTCTGACTCATGCTGCAACATGGATGAACCTGAGGACTTTATGCTAGGCCAAATAGCCAAGTCACAAGAGGACAGATACTGTATGATGACATTTATATGAGGCACCTAGAGTAGTCCAACATAGACCGAAAGTAGACTGATGGTCAGCAGGGGACGGGGAGAGCCGGGGAGCCAGGAAGCTGGGAAGCCGGGGGGTTACTGCTTTAGCAGGCCCAGTTTCAGTTTTGCAAACTGAAAAAAGTTTTGGAGACGGATGCTGGTGATAGTTGCACAATGATGTAAATGTACTTCGTGCCACTTAACTCTATGCTTAAAAATGATTAAACTAGGGTCGCCTAGGGGCATAGTCGGCTGAGCCTCAGACTTCAGCTGGGGTCATGATCTCATGTGGTTCATGAGTTCGAGCCCCGCCTCGGGCTCTGTGCTGACAGCTTAGAGCCTGGAGTCTGCTTTGAGTTCTGTGTGTGTCTCTCTCTCTCTCAAAAATAAATAAACTTTAAACAATTGATTAAACTAGTAAATTTTGTTATGTCTATTTTACCACAATTTTTTTTAAAGTAAAAAAAAAAATTGGGGCACCTGGATGGCTCAGTTGGTTAAAAGTCTGAGGGTTGATCTCAGCTCAGGTCATGATCTCACAGTTTGTGAGATTGGGCTCCATGCTGATGGTGTGGATTCTCTCTCTGCCCCTGCCCTGCTTGCGCACGCTCTCTCTCTCAAAATAAATAAACTTTAAAAAAAGGTAAAAAAAGAACCTAACTGCTTCATCCAAACGCTAAGAGAGATCCAAGCAACTTGAGTTGCACGTGTATTTTACTATGAAGTTTGTTTTCTTTTAGACCACTATGCTAAATCATATAAATATTCTGGCATTTATTTCCAGTACCCATGTTACTGTATCAACCAAATAAGATTACTTTAATTAAAACAGTTCTGCTGTAATGAAATTATTAGCTTTGAAGCATAAGAATTTCTCTAGAAGAGTATGTCTTTGATTTTATGAAGAATTCAGAGGGAATAAAACTGATTATTAAAATATACTATTTTAAGTTTTCCCCATCAATACCTTCCCCCCCACAAAAGGTAAAAAGAAACACATGAACTGACATTAAAATGTTTTGGAGCAGCATATTTATCTCCCTAATTGTTACACCTGGATGACAGTAAAGATGTGTATTATTTTATAAACAAACACCTATTATCCATAGTAACTAGAAGACTTATGCAGGAGGAGAAGCTGAACTAAGAAGAAAAGAGTAGAAGCAATCTCCACATAGAGTCAGAAAAGCCATTAAAAACAAATAGGTGAGAAAAATGACAACAGCAACTACAGACGGAAAGCTCATGGGAGGCGGCACTTAAGTGAGAAAGAAAAAGCATGAAAAAAGGACACAGTCTCAGAGAATGTAAGTCCTAGAAATTCACTTTTAACACACTGCATTAAAGTCTGACAAGTTTTGTGGTTTTTTTTCCTATGAAGGGCCAGAAAGTGTTCCCAGCTTTGTGGGTCGTGGGCCTTTTGTAGCAGCTACTCATCTCTACTACTGAAGTCTGAAAGCAGCCACAGACAGTACGTAAAGAAATGGTGTGGCTGTGTTCCCTGTGTTCCTCAAAAATTTTATTTACAAAAGCTGGCAGGAGGCCAGGTTTGGCCTGAAGGCAGGCAATAGTTTGCCAACCCCTGGTCTACGGAAACAAAATAAATAAATGTAAGGACAACTTCGAATAAGGTGTATCAAGGCACATGAGCTCAAATACTGTGGATTCCTATTCTACCCCCTAGTCAATCAGACCCATGGGCTGAAGTTTAAATATAAAATGTTCCTTTTTTACCAAAAAAGGTAAGTGGTTCCATGAGCTAAAGACTTCCTAGTGGATTTCTCACTCCCATTAAAAATGGGCCGACAGCCCACCTATATCAAAACATTTAGAATGTTTTTTTTCATTTAAAAAATATTTCTCAGTATCCAGAAATGAACTAACAAGAGTTACAATTTTACTCCAAGCACCTCTAAGTTTTTCCATAGTTGATTCTCAACATACAGAGTAAAATCTAGGCCAGTAACTTCACAAACTTCAGTACAGTTGATTATGGTCAAGACCCCAAGGTATACATCAACTATCTATATATATGATGGGAAAATGTCCAAAAATATACATTTTAATGTAAAAGGTGAATAAAATATGAAGAGGCAAGCTGTGTAAAAAGGAAAACACACACACTCTTGCTCCCCACATTCTCACTTAAACAAAGAAAATGTTTGGAAGGATATTCTCCTCGCCTCTGAGAAATAAGATTCCGAATTTCAAAATGTTTGTGTTTTGCTTTATGTGATTCTGATTCTGTACTTTCACATTTTCCACCATAAGCAGGTATGGTATTAAAGTTTTCTGTGGAGGTTGCAGTTAAAAGGTTTATCACTTTCAAAACTAAAAGTCAGTTTGAACACCGATATTTTTAGGAGAATATTCACTCACAGGACTTATCCATAAGGATCACAGAAGAATATTTATATACACAATTCATGTGACATCATTTTTGTGGGGCAATTTCACAGTAGCACAATACCTCAGCTCCACCCATCCATTTGGGCTCATCAGGAAACTCAGCACACAAAATATCTTCTGACTGATCAGTCCCCAACACGTGGTAACAGAGTTTTTGGTGGAGATTGGTGGATGTCTCTGTACCTGAAGAAGTTAAAAATGTATACACTGAAGTGGCAGTTGACAATTTTAAGAAAATCTATTCCATTGGTATTGTACAATGCTAGAAATATTTAAAAACTTACTTATCTGGTCACAGGATACAAAGTTAACATGTAAAACTTAATTGCTTTCTTATACACCAAGAATGAATAGTGGAATTTGAAGTTAAAAACACAATACCATTAGGGACGTAATATACACCATGGGATCATAGTTAGTAATAGTAATACTGTATTGTATATTTAAAAGTTGCTAAGAGAGGACAGGTTAAAGTTCTCATCACAGGGTGCCTGGGTGGTTAAGCATCTGACTCTCAGTTTTGGCTCAGGTCACGATCTCAGGTTTCGTGAGTCAGGCCCCCATCGGGCTCTGGGCTGGCAGTGCGAGCCTGCTTGGGCTTCTCTCTCTCCCCCAGTCTCCCTTCTCTGCTCACGCTGTCTCTGTCTCTCTCAAAATAAATAAATAAACTTAAAAAAAAAGAAAAGTTCCCATCACAAGAAACAGAATTTTATAATTATGTATGGTGATGTGATACATGTTAACTAGATTTAAATGATCATCATTTCATAATATATACAAATATTGAATCATTAGGTTGTATACATAAAATATGTCAATTATACCTCAACAAAAAAATTTTTTTAAACACATTACCATTGACATTAATACCCCCTAAAATAAAATGCTTAAGTACAAATCTAACAAAATATGTATTAAGACTTATATGAGAAACACTACAAAACTGATAAAAGAAATCAAAAAAGAACTAAATAAAGGGAGAGATGATCCATGTTTATGGATAGGAATACTGTCATGTCAGTTCTTCCTCACTTGACCTACAGATTCAATTTAATTCCAATAAAAGTCCCAGCAAGTTATTTTGTGGATACCAATGAGTTGGTCCTTAAGTTCATGCGGAGAGGCAAAAAACCCAGAACGGCCAACACAGTATTGAAGGCAAAGAACAAAGTTGGAGGCTGACACTACCTGACTTCAAGATTTACTGTAAATAATCGAAACAGTGTGGTACTGGCAAAAGAACAGATAAATCAATGGAACAGAGTAAAGAGCCTAGAAACAGACCTACATAAATACAGTCAACTGATCTTTGACAAAGGAGCCAAGGTAACACAATGGAGCAAAGATGGCCTTCTCAACATATGGTGCTGGAACAACTAGACATCTATGTGGAAAAAATGAATCCAGACACAGACCTCACACCCTTCACAAGAGAGAATTCAAGTTGGATCACAAATCTAAACATAAATGCAGAACTATAAAACCCCTAAAAGATAACATGGAAGAAAATCTAGACGACCTCCGGTTTGGCAAAGACTTTTTAGATACTATGCCAAAGGTACCATCCATGAAAGAAAGAACCAATAAGCTGGATTTCATTAAAATAAAAAATTTCTACTCTGTAAAAGACGCTGTCAAGAGAGTAAGACATGTCACAGATGGGAGAAAATATCTGTGAAACACACATCTGGTAAAAGGACTATTACCCAAAATTTACACAGAACTCTTGAAACTCAAAAATAAGAAAAGAAACAATCCTATCAAAAAAATGGGCCAAAGATCTTAACACAAACCTCACTAAAGAAGATATGCGAGGGCGCCTGGGTGGCTCAGTCAGTTAAGAATCCGATTTTGGCTGAGGACACAATCTAACAGTTTGTGGGTTTGAGCCCCACGTCGGGCTCTGTGCTGACAGCTCAGAGCCTGGAACCTGCTTTGGATTCTGTGTCTCCCTCTCTCTCTGCCCCTTCCCCGCTTGCTCATGGTCTCTCTCCCTCTCTCAAAAATAAACATTAAAAAAATAAAAAAAAAAAGAAGGTATGCAGATAGCAAAGAAGCATATCAAAAGATGGTCCACATCATAGGTCACCAAGGAAATGCAAATTCACACAATAATATACAACTATACTCCACACGCCCCCGCCCAGAACAGACAAAATCCATAACAATAGCAACACCAAATGCTGGTGAGGATGTGGAAAAACAGGAAATCTGATTCATTGCTGGGGGAATGCAAACTAGTGCAGCCACTTTGGAAGACAGTTTCACAGTTTCTTACAAAACTAAACATATTCTTCCAATACAATCCAGCAATCACTCTTTGGTATTTACTCAAAGTATTTGAAAATTTATGTCCACACAAAACCTGCACACAGATGTTTATAGCAGCTTTATTTGTAACTGCCCAAACTTGGAAGGTACCAAGATACCCTTCAATAGGTGAATGGATAAATAAACTGTGTTACATTCAGACAGTGGAATACTATCCAGTGCTAAAAAGAAATTAATTATCAAGCTATGAAAAGACATGGAGGCAACTTAAATGCATATTACCAAGTGAAAGAAGCCAATCTAAAAAGGCTACATAGTGTACGATTCCAACTATGTGACATTCTGGACAAGGCAAAGCTATGGAGACAGTAGAAAGATTAGTGGTTGGGGCACCTGGGTGGCTCACTCGGTGGGTGTCTGGCTCTTGATTTTGGCTCAGTCATGGTCTCATGGTCATGGGGTCGAGCCTGGCCTCGGGCTTTGTGCTGACAGCGCAGAGCCTGTTTGGGATTCTCTCTCTCTTCCTCTCTCTCTGCCCCTTCTCCGCTTGCTCACTTGCTCTCTCTCTCCCTCTCCCAAAATAAATACATAAACATTAAAAAAAGAAAGAAGATGAGTGGTTGCCAGAGGCTAGTGGAGAGGGAGGTGAATAGGTGGAATACAGCATTATGAGGCCGGTAAAACTGACACTACAATGGTAGATAGATATCAAGTAGCATACATATGATTAATCAATCACATTTTACATTTGTCTAAACCTACGGAATATACAACATGAAGAGTGAGCTGTAATGTAAACCCTGGACTCTGGGAGAGTATGATGTGTCAATGGAGGTTCATCAATCTTACCTCGTCTGGAGAGGGATGTTGATAATAGGGGAGGCTCTGCATGTGGGGACAGGGGAGGTACGGGAAATCTCTGCACTTCCTCCTCAGTTCTGCTGTAAACCTAAAAATGCTCTAGAAAGTAAAGACTTTTTTTTGTCTTTTTAAGTTTTGGTTGGGCATCACTCTGGAAGTAATTCACACATATCTGCTGGCTTTGGAGGCTGTTGTGAGACTGAACGATTCTTTTTTTCATTACAAAAAGGCACCAAGCTTTCAGGACAATGAAAAAGGTTAATACCATAATATAAATGAAACTTGTACAGAACTTGGTGACTTTCCATAGCTTTCCCAGGAAGCACATGGTCAGGATTGTTGAGCCTCATTGTAAGTCCCTCCCTCACACAACCTGAGTGGCCGTTGAGGTCCTCGTGACAAGAGGGCAGCAAATTACAGCTGGCAAAAGATGGTACCTTTCTGAAATCAATCACAATAACTAATCTTCACTATTTTTGCCACTGAAAGCTGAGCCTAAATAATAATTTTCATGTTTTTCACAAATAACATTGTTCTCTAACAAGAAATGGCCAGTGAAATACTTTTTTGGTCTCCCACCTGTAAAGACCAACCAAGACAACAGGAAAACACTCCATGCCAGAGATGGTAGAGCATGAAGAAGGTGGTGTTGAAAGCTTATATCAGCAAGGTTCAAGGTACCTGGCCCTTTCTATCTGGGAAGATGAAGAGTAAAGGGGGAAAGAAAAGAGACTACTTGAACACAATAGGATCTCTGTGCAAGTGAAAAGAAGAACAAAGGTATGTCCTGCAAGTTAACAAGGAGGAAAATGTCACGATGCATCAACCAGGTGACCCATAACTTCTGATCAGAGGAAGAGATACGATCACCACAGTAGGAAAATTTCATAATCACTCAACGTCATTAAATAAATTGGTTTTGCAGAAAACAAAAAAGATCCATCTTCTCCATGACTCCTTGGGAGATATAACACATCTGTAAAGGACTGATTGCAATAATGGCTCCATTTGTCATGGGTCCTTATATCTGTTTCTCCACCCCTTGAACTGGGGCTGCTGGCCCCATGACTTGATTTGGCCAACAGAATGCAGCAACACGATGCAGTGCCAGTAGCAAACCTAGGCATCAAAGAGGCTTGTGCCTTTTGGCTCTCCCTCTTGGAATCCTGCTGAGCTGCCATGCAAACCAAGTGGCTAGCTTGCTGGAGGATGAGAGACCACATATATCAGAACCCAGGCCCCGACACAGGAAACAGCCAAGCCGAGATCAGCCAACTGATCCACAGCCGAACATGGAAACATGACAGAACTCAGCTAATCCAGCAGAACTGCCTCGCCAACTCACAGGCTCACAAGCAAAAACAAACAAACAAACAAACAAAAAAACCCAAACATGGTTATTATTCTGAGCCACTAAGTTTTGGGGCAGTCTGTTACACAACTGATACAACATCCTTTGAGGAAACTGGGTTCTACACCAAACAACTTCTATGTAGGTTTAGCTTTTAAAGTCATATGAAGTCACACTTCTAGTTCACGAAAAAGGTGCTTCACCTGATACCTTAACTTACCATCACTTTTTCCATCCTGTTGGGGATATGAGTTGTAGAACATCCCCTTCCCATCATGGGTCCATGCCATACAGCTGAACTTGACTCTCTCAAGCACATCTGGAAGCTCTTTGGCACCATCAACTTTCATGAACTTGATCGTCACCCAGTCTGAGCCGCTGGCACTCAGACCATAGGCAAAATATTCACCATCTTCACTGAATGCATAGCCTATGGGACACAGGATAAATCCTCAGTGAACTTGGGGACACAACGCCTAGCCCTGCCCACTGCCCTCCGTGCTGTCTGACAACGTTCTCTGCCAGATGTGCAACAGAAGGAGCAGGAAACCTGCAGTGAGGAACCCAGAGGGCTGAGCCCAGGCCTTACAGGGATTCGCCTCACGAGCTTGGACAAGTGTCCGAACCTCTCTGGGTCTTAGTTTTTTTAACCTGTAAAATGACATCTTGGATTATATGACCACTAAGATACTTTCATTAATTCAATAATAGTTCGGTTAAAAGCAGAGCTCATCTGAGACTTTCAACATATTTTATTTATACTCTAAAGAGGAAGGGAAAAAAGAATAAGGAGACTACTTTTAGAGTATCGACTAGATTATGACACGTAGCACGTAACAAAACTAAACGGAAGCCATTAAGTAATTTTTGGAATGGATTCCAAACTATTTGAAATCACTCTTTACAACCTCATTTTCTGAGCATTGCTGGCACTCAAGGATTAACGTCCACACCATCTGATCAGCACAAGCCCAGGTAAATAAAGCCCAAGGGTTGCAATGAAGGCTCACACAGTGCATATTCCAAAAGTGACCGTGAAAAAGAAAAAGCAACACCATTTATGAACTGTTACGCATGTCCAATTCTTTAAGTCCATGACAGAATGTTCTAATCACTACAGAATATGTGTTGAGAAATTTTATATGTTTATATCAGCTTTTATAAATATAAAGTAGGTATAGATAGCATTTGTTACCAGACACTGACACTAGAGATTTCCTCTTACAATGTTTGCTACACTTTACTAGGGATTGAAAATTAATCCTCAGAAACTCAACTATTTTCAGAACTGCCCTACTATTTGACATGGAATTTCTATTAGTGGTAAATAAGTTTAAAATTTCACAAAATCTCCTTATTAATCATTTTTGATTCCTATGAAGTATGCAAGCTCATCTCTATATAAATACAGAGAAGAGTCTAGAAGGTGATGGAGAGAAAATACTTCTTTATATAAATTATTTCTATATAATGAAATTTTTACAGGAAAAATTTAAATAATTGATTTGAAATGTATAAAAAAATCACATGCTATCAAAACAATCAGTATGTTTACCCACACTGTAACCTCCCTATAATATCATTTTCAGAAAACTTGAAGACTGAGGCCAGGTCCCATGTCTAATTTCCCTTTTCATCTATCAGGACCTGTATATGGCAGGCATTCCATTAAAATGTTACTGGAAAGAATTTTCAGAGACTCTCCTATAATGAAGTTCTTCTGGATGAGTTACAAGACAGACTTTAGTTAAAATTAAATGATATCCTACACAGGATATGTTCTTACATACCGAACCAGTGTATTAACTTCATTTACAAGTGCAAGCTCAAATTTACGGGAGGATATTTTTGGTTAGCTGGCTGGCATCTTAGTTTCAATACTGATTACTTTCAACACGAGTTAGGTAAAGGACCATCATTTACATACACAGCCTATTTAGGAAGAAGAGGGGAAGACCCATGAAGTGGCTGAGTGGCTCCACAGAAGGGTCTTCCCAAAGCGCTGCTACAACAGGGCCTTTTGATTCCCACCTAATCGATTACAGGACGACCGTGTTCCAATTGCTCAATTCCGCAGGCTGAACCCCCACCTGTGCTTTCTCTACAAAACAGAGGATGCTACAGCCAGGGAACTGCAGGGAACAGTCAGGGAAATGCTGAGCCAACTTCATTAAGATCTAGGATACCAACGAGAGATGATTCCCAGAGTATACAACTATTAAAGCATAGAACCAGAGAAGAACCAACTTCCTTCCTTAGAACCAGTGCTCATGGCACAAACCAACAGTAATGGTTATGGACTGTGGAGGTTATCTTGGGGTGGAGTTATTGAGGAGACATGTGGTCACTACAGGCCAAACTTAATGATTTGGGTTTTAAACTTGCATCTTCAGGCAACAGGGTATCAACCGGTCTAATTTCTACAAGACTGTGTTGTTTTTTTTTTTTTTTTTACTTTTAATTCTAAAATACTGACAGCTAAAGTTTAAAACTCTGATCACTTCCTCCCCACCAAGGAAAGAGATCTTGTAAATATTCTTTCCTATTTTATATTTATAGTCGGAACATTCTTCGTAGAGCTTAAATTACTTACAGAAGATTTTTTTTTCTAAACACAGATAGGTCTCAGGGATGTTAGAAGCAATGATGTTGGTACTTAAATATCTCAGAAGCCCTGGAAGCTAATTTGGGTCCAGTGTGAATTATTCTCCAGTTCTGCTTCATGCCACCAAAACACGTGGCTACTCATGTATTCCAAAGATACTGTGCAAAAATTAGCTTTCCTGATACTGCATGTGCATCTGTTGCACAATATGGTCCATCCCGTCTGGTGTTTCAGAGGTGAGGGGACTGCAGCAACGTCAGAGCCGTGAGTGAGGGCCCTGGGACTCCTGTGGGCTTGGCTGTGTAGCGCTCACCTCGGAGAGCCACCGTGCCATCGTCAGAGAGTATGTTGGGGTCGAGGAACACTCTGGCTTCACCTTCTAAGGAATCCTGTACGTATAATACTCGCTGGTTCTGCAAACCTGTATTGTAAAAATAGAAATACCTGGGGGACAGAGATGGTCTTTATTTAGCGGTAGAGTTTTCCACTTGTGGGGTACAATCAAATACACACAAGCAAAAAGAAAAACAACACACAAGGGTTCAATTGCAAATGGGCTATGCCAGGGACATACATACGTGGGGACTAGGATGGAAGGTCCCACCACCTCCCAGTGCCTAGAGTTAGTTATCTGAATTGTTTTAGGTACTCAAATAATTTATCATAATTCTGCATATTAACTAAATGGGAACAAATAAAGCCTGCTTCATTTGCTAAAATGAAAACTGATAATCAAAGAAAGCAGTAATTTTTTTTCTTTTCAATGGAAAAGAACACAGGTTTTCTAAAATGAAATGCTGGATCCTTCCCTCGGCAGGCCGCTAGGGCAGGGGTGGACAAACCCTTTCTGTACTGGGCAAAACTGCAAATGTTTTAGGCTTTGTGTGCCATAGAGTCTCTGCTGCTGCTACTCAATTCTGTAGTTGTACAAAAGCAGCTATGGATAATATGTAAATGAATGGACAGGTCTGTGTGCCATTTCAATTTTATTTACAAAACCAAGCGGCAGGGGGGCATGTAGACGGTACTTTGCTGATGTGTGTGTGTGTGTGTGTGTGCGCGCGCGTGCGCGCGCGCACTTGTGCACATGTGTGAAGGCGGCGGGGGGGGGGGTCTAAGAAATTCTCAATAAATTTATGATGATGGTTCCAGAGACTTAAAAAAAAGAACAAGAGAATATGTCTAAGTAGGTGTGAAAGGGAGAGGAACAAGAGAAGTGAGTTAGTGATAGGTGCCGCCTCCTGGCCATTTCCATTCCTGGGTGAAAGACACCCATACAATAAAATCCTTTCTAGCAGTATAAGCCAAAGGGAATCTTAGAGGCAAACGAATCTCCACTGCCGTCTGCAAATCATCCTATCTCACCAATTACTAGCCATAAGACAACAATAACTTCCTATAATCTAGATTTTTTTCCCTAGGAAGTATCTCTACTAAATTTCTTAATTATAATTTTAAGAATATGGACAACAGACCAAAAGTTTTTATTCTCGTACTCAAGCACAGAAATGATTTGACTTGAGAGTGAATTAGTTCCATCAATGGCAAGTTATTTAGAATTTGTATTTCAAGATTTAAAGAAAGCATTCAATTAGACAAGTAAAAAGAAAAATAAAAGCAACCTCACATACCGTTTTCCTTTCTTGAAGTGGCAACTATACTTGGGATAATCATACAGTTCAGTCATTCTCTCTTTGTATAAACCTCTGATAGGACATTGTTCAAGAAATGGAACAGTAATCTTGTTCTGGGCCTCAACAAAAGCCTATAGAGAAAATTTAAATGGAAAAAGCAAGTCAGACATAAAATTTTCCATATGGAATTTTATCCACTGATATATATCCATGAAAGCATATTTTTCCCTCAATAAATGATAGCTAGTCCTTTCATGGCACTAACTACATACTGTTAACTCATTTAGAACTCACAATTATCTTATGGAGAAGGCTCTATTATCAGCCCAACTTTACAGAGGAGAAAACTGAGTTTCAGAGTAGATGAAAAGCTGCCCAACATCAGACAGCCAGGCAGGGGCAGAGTTTACTCTTGAATCTGTTCCCTTAATAAACACAGTCTGCTGTACTAAGATCATGCAGTCAATCGACTACGTTCACACGCTGCCAAGGTGCCAGCCTTCCTAGTCAGTAGTCTGAGATCCCACAAACCATCAGAATTAAAGAAACATATACAAAGGTGCTATTTTACCAATTTTGCTTTTGCCTATGCTGTCTTCCTAAGGCCTCCTACCTTGTCAACTTCAGAGAACCTTGTTAAAATTTGAAACTGAAGAATATTCTTTAAAAATTGGAGAATGGGTGGCATTAGATAAGAATATCAACAAAAACAGTTTGTAAGGAAGGGCAAGAAATGGTCTGCAGGAAGTCAGGGGACCCTGGCAGCAAAGGCAGGGCAAGGGGCAGGTTTCACAACAGATCAACTATACCCAAGCCTACCCTGTTTGTAAGTGAGCAATTAGAAAGTTCTTCATACTATGAAAACTCAGACTCAGAATATTCACCTCTGGCTATTAGTAAGAAATGAAACAAGAATAAATATATTAGCTCTAAAATCAGTTGAAGGTTCAATCTGATGTTTACAAATAGGTAAGTTCTCAGAGGAAAACTTCAGGAAATTAAGAACATAATATATTTTGAATGACAGATGAAAATGCGCTATCATTGGCCTCTACTTTTGGATGGATCATCAAGGTCCAAGGGCCCACCCTAACTCAAAATGGTCTTCAAATGGGATCTCCTACAATAACCACCAACTGTGCTCTGGAAAACCATGATTCTGTGTTCAGAGAAAGCTGTTCTAAAATTCACTGATATTTATAATGTGCTTGAGAATATGAGAGAAAGAGTAGAAAGTAGGACTAAAATAATGAACAACCCTTTTTGCAAGATGATCCATTCAAGAAAAAAAAAACTGTTATGGGGGTACCTGAGTGGCTCAGTCGGTCGAGCATCTGACTTGGCTCAGGTCATGATCTTGCAGTTCGTGAATTCAAGCCCCACCCTGGGCTCTCGGCTGTCAGCACAGAGCCTGCTCTGGATCTTCTGTCTCCCCCTCTCTGTCCCTCCCCTGCTCGCCCTCTCTCCCTCTCTCTCTCAAAAGTAAATAAACATTAAAAAAAAAAAAGTAAATAAACATTAAAAAAAAAAAAACAAACCTGTTATGGGTCACATTTCTTATTTCATTCAAACAGAAAACAAAATGTATTGAGTCCCAAAGAAATATAATGCCAAATGCTTATTGCCAAGGAACTGGCAATTCACCCTGGCCTGCCTTCCTACGGCACTTAAGCTAACGATAGTTTCTATACTTTTAAAGAGTCGGAAAACAAAAACAACCCAACAGAGGCCTATGTGGCTCTCAACATCTGAACCATTTAATACATAGTCCTTTATAGAAGAAGTTCGCTGATTCCACTGCGCCTCATTAAAAAGAGTGTCAAAGAGGAAACGGGCTTTTATTTTGGTTACAGTATCAGTGTACAGCCGCAAAGCCACTCAGGGGCAGGACTGTGGAGATCACAAAGTGTGTGCAAGAGCATTACTGATTTCATGATGGAAGGAAATGCCTTGTCTACTTTACAGACACAGAAACTGAGGCATGCAGTATTGAAGTCACCCGGTCAAGGTGAACAGTGAGTTAGCAAGAGCACTCAAGCAGAATTACAGTTGACCCTTGAGCTACATGGGCTTGAGCCAGGCAGGTCCACTTATTTGTGGATTTTTTACAGTACTATAAATGTATTTTCTCTTCCTTATGACTTTCTCTGTAACATTTTCTTTCCTCTAGCTCATGATAGTATAAGAACACAGTACATAATACAAAAAACACACAAAATACATGTTAATTGACTGTTTATGTTATCAGTAAGGCTTCCAGTTGACAGTGGGCTATAGGTAAAGTTTGGGGGAGTCAAAAGTTATAAGGGAATTTTCGACCTCACGGGGGGTTGGCACCTCTATCTCCTACATTGTTCAAGGGCCACCTGTACTCTATTCCAGTCACAGTAGGAGAGGCTGAGGCCGGCTCCATGCCTGATTCCGGATGTGGGATGAGTAAGAGCAGACACCCGGGGGAGAAAGGAAGCCAGGCCTCCTATGATTTTCCCCCCGCCTGTGTTAGGTGGGGCTGGACAGGCACGTCAGGGTCCTGGAGCATCGGAAAGGACTTAAGAAAAACCTCATGTGCATCAGCACTGATCTTGGCATTGTGGATGGAGAGGTGACAAGTCCAGGACAAGCTCCCTGCCTTCGTGGCGCTAACACTGTACTGGGGGAGACAATACACAAGCCAGAGGGTTACAGAGAATGGTTAGTCCGAAGGCCACACGCAAGGTAATCATAAGCATCTGCAGCCTGTGCTGGTCCTGAACTGTATGCCACCTGCCCGGGATGAGGCCAGGACAGAGCCTGAGAGGGAGTGCTGTGAGCAATGTGACATCGCTGTGCCATCTCTGCTATGTTTTACAAAAATATCAATCCATACCGGTTTGGAAATTTAAAAACCAGTCCTTCACCACAGATCCTGGGAAGCACTGGGAAGGAGGAGGGAGGGTGGCCAGGGAGGCCCTTCTGAATTAAGGTAGGCTAGGCTACAGGGAGCAGCCATGCAAAGACGGGAGAAGTGCTCCAGGCCAAGGAATGGCAAGTGTGGGACCCTGGGAGATGGGAGCTCCCAGGTGTGAAGGAGAGCAGGAAGGGCAGTGAGGCTGGGAATGAGTGACAGGGAGCAAAGACCCAGGCGGGAGCTGATCGTGCGGCACCTCATCACGCGGCACCCGGTGGCAGTTATGAAGTTTGAATCTTCATTCTAGGGGCAAACAAGCTATGACTGGGAAAGGAGGTAGTTACAAAATCTGGCTTATCTTTTGAAACATCTACCCTTGCTCTGGATGAAGAATAAACCAGGGAAGCAAAATCAGAAGTCAGGAAGGTGGGCCAGTGGTCCAGGGAGAGCTGAGGCCAAGTGAAATGGCTGGTCTCCAGAAGCAGCAGGAACGACCACTGTGATGGGGCGCAGAGAAAAATGGGCACCGTGTACGCTCGTGTGTGGATTCGATGGCTATTTCCCGGAAGGGCCTCATCAGACTGCTCTAGCTCCTCGGGGCTCCCACCCTGGGATCCCAGTGTGCTGAGGCTCTTGGCTGGCCCCTCTTCTTCCATTGGAGGGGCCTCTGAGGAGGGCACTGTGCGGGCTCTGTGTCCCTCACCCTTCTGGTTTGTGTTTGTCTGAGGCTGATCGAGGCCCTATTCAGGCTCTAGTAGGACCAAGGTGGGCCCAAGACACACAGGTGTTCAGTTCCTTTGCTTTGGAAAGGTGGAACCGTCTTCTTCAACTGCTCCTCTATCTCGCATCACTTCTTTTAGACGTCTCGTGGTACAGACACAACTGCGGCCACCGAATCCATCTCACACTGAAGCAGACACTTTGGCTTTTCTCGTTTCAAATGTTCATAAGACTGTTATGCCAGGCATAATGCTACTAAATAATGATACAATTCTAGGACTATTACGACCAATTTTGTCACCCCACCCATCCACCGATGATAGTCAACCAATTACTCTAAATAGAGCAGTTTTTAAAGACTATGTCCTTCCAAGTCAAAGACTTACACGTAAAACCAAACTGGTCAAATGCCTCAAAGTCTCAAATTCTTTATAACTTGGGCAAATCCTTCTCATGCTCAAGACAGCAAATGTTCTATAAAGGGGCTTTGTGAAATTTAGGGTTCTACAGACTGTCAATATGATTTCTGGTATTTTAATCAGGAAACACCTTCTTGGTCACTTACGGATTTAACAGTTTGGCTTCTTGGTCTAGAAATTAGAACAAATTGGGGGAAAGGGAGAAAAGGGGCAAGAAGAGACGAACAAAACTGGAGGACATCCATGATGATAAAGGAACAGGGTGAGGAGAATTAGAATTCTCTTCGTTCCTCAAGAAGCTTCGGCGTCCACAGTCGATTACAGAGTGTTGTCCAAGTGACTGGAATCTGAAAGCCCATTAATGACACCTGCAGCTGAGCCTCTGAAGAAGATCAACAGTTTGGATTTTATAGCAATGAATGGATGTGAACGCACTGAATAGCTGCCCAGGACTAAGAAACTTGGCTTATACCTCCCTCTTCCCTTGAAGATTAGAAAGCTCCACAGCAAGGCAATGTTTCAGTTATGCACACGGAGTAAATTCTAGAGATGTGCTGCATGGCACTGCGCCTGTAGTTAACAATACTGTACTGTGCACACAAAACTCTGGTAGGAGCTCATCTTTTTTTTTTTTTTTAAGTTTATTTATTTTTGACAGAGAGAGAGAGAGACAGAGCATGAGTGGAGGAGGGGTAGAAAGAGGGGGAGACACAGAATCTGAAGCAGGCTCTAGGCTCTGAGCTGTCAGCACAGAGCCTGACACAGGAGCTCAAAATCACAGACCATGAGATCATGACCTGAGCCGAAGTCAGATGCTCAACCGACTGAGCCACCCAGGCGCCCCTGGTGGGAGCTCATCTTAAAGTCTCACCACCATGAAAGAAAAGGAAAGAAGAGCTAGCTGGCAAAGGGTCACTCAGGTTGGGAGCTGGAGATTCCTTTACCCTGTCTTCAGAAAGAATTTCTTCAAGTTGTCCTCACATGCACTGTATTTTAATCCACAAAATACCTCACATCCTTTAATAAGCATAACTCATACATATATGAGTAAAAATGAAGCATACAGTTACTCACTAACTAGCTGTATATATATAAAACACCACAA